GAATTTGACCTGATTAAAATTTTCAGTATCGTTCATTTCGTACGATATTCAATAATGGCGATGTTATCAGTGATGTTACTTGTTGCTATCAATATGGTAAGTCTGTGTAAAATCGCGGAGAAAAAATTTCTATGTTTCCTTTTATAGACATAATTAACATAATTGACATTTATCATACAATGAGTAAATTATAGTTTTTATTTGTAACTGGTGACTTCATTGCACTATTGATAGGAAGTAATTCGTAATAATGCGTGAATGTCATACCAAACAAACAGCGTCCATATACATGCAGTCGAATGATACAAACTGCCACGTTAGTCGTGGACTTTTAATTTTTGCCATTTCCCGTTCGAGTTATTCGTTATTTACAAGTTATGCCGCCCTGTGATCCGTCTATTGTCTGGGTCCATTCTGGGAAAACAATCACAGAAAGTGACGTTATTACTGTGTGGAAGTGATAGATACGAGCAAATAAGCAAACTATCGAACACTGTGATGTTTATTTTTTTCAATTATATTTAATTTATTTGTAGGAGAGACGGAAGCTTTTCCTGCCTTGGCTTCTTGGTGTTGTTGTTTTCATTATTTCCGACATGGCGATTGATATATGGATTGCCGTAATAGAAGCACAATTGGTGAGTTAACTTAAATATTCTATCAGTTCTATTCTTGTCAGAAGACAGCACGACATTTTGCTAGAGGTATAGATCCATAAAGTCACATGATCGTTTCTCAAATTTCATGATTTTTTTAAATCTAAAATATTCATGTGGCATTTATTTATTTCACTCTCGAAACAGTAAAGAACAATATATAATACTAAAACATAGTTTGCATTTTGTCGTTTCAGAAGCACTACCCAGTGATGTACGGGACCATTCTGGCGCTAATTGTATCCACCTTATTGAATGTATGTACCCTTAATTTTGATTTATTTATAGATATTTGGTAAAATTCGTGGCGCAAATTCGCGACACTTGTTGATGAACAAATTGAAAGTGACGTGGTGCAATTTAGTACCACAGAATCTACTAGTATATCACGCTTAGAACGATGTGATAGGTCATCTTCTTAATACAACGACGTTTATGACAAGTTTAATAGGTTATCCTAGTGTTAGCCTCTCCCGGTTAAATACAAGCACATGTTGCACCCGTTAGTTAATTAGCTATGACACAAACTTTTAGCCTCCCCATTTGTGGTGACGAATTACAGTATCTCATGTCTGTGATTGCAAGGTTGTATTTCCCCCAATAGTTGCCATTGGCGACAGCGAACATTACAGGGAGAAGCCATACAAGTGCGTGCATGCGCATAACAATCCATGTCAAATTCAGCGGCAGGCAACGTGAGTGCGTGCTTACCGACCACTTAATCTTCATGACATTGAAATGACACTCAGTACATTTGCAAACGCCTTCATTGTTTTCTCTCTAATTTATGTAGATATACTGCATACTTTGCGTTACGTCACATTATCAAGAACTTGGTGATTATGAATATTATTACAACAGGATAATGAATTACAGTGATCGAGACATTGACAGAAAACTATGTAATGTAAGTGTCCCAGAATGCACCTATTTTTTCCGTTTGTTCTCTTGCTCTGCGTTTCGTTTCGCGCAAAGGACGCCGGGTACAACGAAATCTGTAATTTTTCTGTTTGTTCAATGTCGGCACAAAGAACATTTCAAATCATCGCAAACAATTTATATTTGACACGCATTTGGATACTAATATTTGGGGAATGATGTATTTAAGGTAGAATGCTACACAAGGGTAACAATATTTCCGGATGAAAAAAATAAAATAAAATATAATGGGGTTAACGTATCCCGTTAAAAGAAAATCGATCAATGAACTTCAGTGAAAATGGCATGTTTTGTCTGTTTCAGGGCATTTTATCATTGTTTCCTATAAAATAAATGTATCTCAATATCTTAATAATTTTTCTCAGTACATGTGGTGATAAAAAGATATATAGTGTCTTACAAGGTACTTTTTGGTGTCTAAAAGTATTAAGAATTGACAATATTTGTCAGTTTTTATCGAGAAAATGTGTTTTTCTTGTGGTCTATTGACACCGCTGCTAAAATGACGTTTTGTGTCATTTTCTCAACAAAAAAAGAAAAAAAAAACAGATTAAAAGTGAACCAAAAATATTCATATACCGTTGACTATTACTAAAACGAATAATAGTGAACAGATTTTGACACAAAATATTGCTTATGCTATATGCGCTAAATCTTGCGCACATAAACATGACCACGAGTAGCATCATACCTTAAAATTACTTCTAACGTTTCACTTGTATTTAATAAAACATATTTTGTGTCTTCCAGGGATATGGTGTGCCAGCAAACTACGATAGCCTGCTTCCACCTTATGATGTCAAAATTACGTAACAGGAAATACGTATCATGACTTGTATTACATGCCATAAGATGTAATTTATACATCAAGCTACGTTTTATAGCTTGTAGGAAAACATATTAAGCGGTTTGATATACCTTTATGATTTTCACACCGTTTTTATTGTTTATTTATAATTTTTAATAAAACATATAAACAACAACAGATCCATCTTTGTAATAGTCGAACATCAATGAATGTCCTCACTCAGGTAACCCTAAATAAACCACACCCAACGTAAACTTGTATGTAGTGTGCACATGGAGGGTTAACACAAATGATTAAATGCAATTCTTTCCTACATATGTGTTATGCTGTAAAACATGTTGAAAAAGCGGCATGCAATTTTAGCGAATTGTTGTAAAATGACGTAATAGCGAAATGTTGATTTAGCGAATCTTTCTTGTCATCATTGTTGATTCCTTTTTTGGCGGCCATTTTGAATTGATAATAAAGTCATTAGCGACATCTTGAATTAGCGAATCACTTCTCTCGCTAAATTCGCGAAAAAGACATGTTTTACAGTATAACATAACATCTCAGGTTTGGTAAAACGTGACAGGAGTAATCATGACATCAATAAACAATAGTAGTTTGTTATTAATAAATTCATAAGTTCTCACTTTGGATATTAACTGCAAGAAAATAAAGTCACGTGGGATACAAGATGGACACAGTTATTCCCTCAGTATGCTAAACTGTTGACAATAACGGACAGAAAGTCAGCAATTACAAGAATATGCTACAGGATATTGGCGAACAGCGAAATAGATATGTGTAACAGCAAATACTGTATGTGAATACTAGTAGTCAACTGCCTTCATTATGGTGAAATATACATTAGAATATAAGTGACCTCGTATCTGGGTCTCACAGGCAAGGCTCAAACAGGAAATAATGGTAACTTATCTTAAAGGGCGGTAGTCGTCGTGACGCGTCCTGTTCGACATGGGACTCATAGCGACGTATACAACGCGTGTAAAATACATTGTTTATTTACATGAAATTCGAACACGCGCTGCGCGACGACCACCGCGCTTTAAAGTGAGTCACGGTGCTTTTGAAAAAATTGCTGAACATATTTGGAGGGTCAAATGTCACTCAACAATTTAAATTGAAAGCCACTTGTAAAATTCAATTTATGAGTATAATTATTCTACTACCTTTTAGAATACAAGATAAAACAATTAACACCCTCCAAATAAGTATGGCGCCACCTATGATGTTGTCCAGTTTTTAGTATACATACATATGCAAACAAAGTTGTTTTTGTCTTTACTTCAAAGCTATGTTCCTGATTTTAATCCTAAAAGACTTAAAATTATGATTTGCACACGGGGACGATCATTCATAACTCAAATTGTGAATATATAGTGATAACATGCACAAAACATGACCAAATTGCTAAAACTGTGTGCAGTCTGACAACTGATTTTTCTTTCAGTTTACTGTAAACGCATTAATTTTTCAGTGCTTTTTAATTTCGCTAATTTCGTCGAAAAGTAAAATCCGCTACAAATTAAATCCATGTTTTCCTGATAGATTAGTGAACTTGAAACCCAGTGAAATTGCTCAAAGGGTCAAAATAGTAAAATTAAATGTCCGTGAAAATAAATGATTTTACAGTATAATGAGGCCTGGAACATTGTCAATACCCTTATATCTAAGGAACAGAATAACTCATCCAGTACCAGTATATCTTGTGATTCTCGGTTTACCACGTTACCGAAATACCTTACCGCTCCACAAAAACTAAGTATTTGATGCTGGAAACGCATGCTTGGCAAAAGTCATATTTTTCTAGTAGAAAATCATAGTCTAAAAATAAAAAAAAAACTAACTAAGCTGTAAATTACGTTTTGTACCACTACTATAAAATAAAATAAGTGAGCAAATGACAAAGTCTACGATACATGTTTTCTATTTATGTAAATTAACATGCGTTCAGTGCTGTGCACTGGCAATGCAACCGATTGCTGAATCTTTTAATTTTATCCTTTCCATCGTGGTATAAGTCATTAATGGCATCTCGTTTTGTGCGTTTACAACTGTAAATGAGCAATCTCGTAAACACACTCGGACTTTCATCGCGTGTTTAAAAAGTGCTGACAAAAAATATGGCATTTACAGTTTACGCACTCCAACTCGTGCCATTAACTATGTATCTCGGCGGTCTGTTTGTAGTGGTTGGTGAGGTGAAGCTATGATTACACCATACTACGGTTATGAAAACAACTTTTGTTTTTTTTAAAAACTCCACCAACTAGATACATTTCTATAAGAACGAGTAAAACTGTGTTCGCCAATTCTCTTGAGCCAGAGTACTGTGTATTTCACTGGGTATTGTTATTTTACATGTACACGCGGATTTTATTTTTTAGCGAATTTGACTAACCAGCAAAAATGAAACCCAGTGTATCATTAATGCATTTAATAGTACTGTGATTTCCTGTGGACTGAAGAATGATGTCATTAGGAGCCACCAGAAAAGGGCGTGGTATGTTACGAAAGTGTTCCCGTTATGGCAAAGATAATGTATATGTACCAACAAAAGTAATTATTTCGCACTGCGTTTTTCCTCAGTAAACTACTGTTGTTTCACTGTAAATGTATAAACAATGAATTACCGGTTTTACTCTGTAAGTGCATGCAATTAATAAATATAATTTATTTTACAACTGAATCTTTGTTTTTTTCCCGAGTCTAGTGCGGATAGCATTGCCCACAGCCACCATGTTCCTCCCTGACTTACAATGTGGTAACTGACTGACACTTCGGGACAGCTTGGAAACAGTATTACGCCAGGATTAACACAAGGCACAGAACACATGGCAAGGATGAAACAATAAAGTTGTCAGCAACAGATACAATTCAACAACATCAAATGTAACTCGTGAAGAGTTAAAGCTGGGGAGTCGTCACCTGCGCATGCCTCAGATGGCCATAGCGTGTCATGGTTTACAAACAGGCGCCTACCCATGAGCCTTTGCGTTATTAGCGTGTTGTATCGTCGCTTGGGACTCAATTCCCGCGCGTGCGCAGGTGACGACCCTCCCGCTTTAAGTTGTCGAGCACGCTAAATAAACAAGTTGATCGGTTGTATAGTTTACCACTGTTTCCTATGGTGAATTCATTCATACCAATATGCTGAGATGATGAATATTTGGTTATCGATGCAGCAACTAATTTGTCAATAATATATTGTGCTACAGTTATGAAAAAGAAATCAAATCAAATCAACATGGACTCGAATTTCTACAATTTTAAAAACTAACATTTATTTAATGTATTTATTTATTTCATAGTACATTTTCTAGTTTGGCAATATACTATTTTCCGTGTACAGCGAGATACCGCGTTATGCGTGAAATCAAACTTGAAAACAGGACAGACAAAGGTCATAGAGTCGGAGTGACGTCAAAAACACCGCGTGGGATTCGACAAACGCGAAAGTATTTTAGGAGTTTTTTCCGCGCGTAATAAGCTATCCACATTTGATGATGGTCAATTTTGAAGAAGTAAAGATATCTCAACGCAATATTCGTAATATTATGATCGGTATTTCAACATTGAGCTATAAAAAGAAACCAGAAATTAAATCTCAGTCATGAATAGCTTCTCCTCAAATTATTGTATAACTTCTCTAGAGTACATTACCAATCCTCACATTTGTGACTTACATACCGTAATGTATAAGTTCTAAAAATAATTAAAACTTCACTTTATTGGAGTAATGTATATTTTTATTACAGTTATGTAAAATGTATTTCAACTGAACAACCCAATAAAATACTATTAAATACAAAAAAAAAACAAAAAAAAAACAGAAATTCAAAATTACAGACGTTCGGTCCACGCCTTTCACGTAATGTAGGGGAAATCACCTATTCAGTGAGGCATAGTGATTTAAATGAGAAAGCCGTTCAGTGTCCGTATTCAATTTAAAATCAGTTGTTTTCAGGGGTTTTGTCTTCCCTAAAACGAAAGAAATTTCACAATTATATCGAAAACGGAAAGTCCTTTATCGTAGTTTTTGAATACTGTTTATTATGAACTTTCCACATTTTGCATGGCCCAGTGACTGATTTTTCAATTAAACAAATATTTCATTTTCCACTTTCATCACATTTACGTCACAGAAGAAGGGGTTAGCCACCGTTAAGTTATAAAACATGTGTCATAATATTTATGCTAAAATGTTTAAGTACAATGAAACATTATGAAATTTTAGTTACATATTTAATAATACAATTTATCCAAAATATCCCAACTTTGTATTTTTATTGCTTTAATATCAGTTTCTTTATTGTATTAGTACTTTCAAATTTTAGGAATAAGTCTTATCATAATATTTCAGAAAGTTTATCATGAATCGCATGGCAATGTACTAGTATTATGTAAAATGGTGGGGCTATTGTTTCATGTCATATCTTTGCCATAGAAACCTATGATAAAACCGTTATAATACTTTTTTTATACTGACAAATTGGCAGCTATCCACTAATTCTCAAAATTAGGCTGGTGACCCGCAACGTTTTTTTTTTTGTGTTAGTATCCGTTTATTGTCTAGGAGTATAATGTATGGCAAAATTAATAAATTCTGGATATTTATGATTAAACACGTTTATGCAAAAGACACATGACGTCATTCAATGTTTGTTTCACCATTTTCCAAATGCAACTACATAGTATGTACAACTACATAGGATATAAATCGCATTGTTCGTTTCATGTTTTCGCCCATGTGTTTCCATCAATACTAATAATTAAGAAATAATTATAAATTAACCATGTGTTCAAAATTTTAAAATGGTAAGTACAATGTTAGTGTAAACTGTGTGCATTACAAGCGTCATATATATGTATAATATAATAATAATAATAGTAATACTAATTATAATAATACTAATAATGCATATATGGGCTGTTTTGTCGGGATGTACCTTACTATCAATTGAACCACTCCACCACCAAAGGGGTTATAGCAAAGCATTCTATTAGAGGGGAATGTCCGAGTGAAATATGGTTTGGTGCGGTGTGATCGTAGTAATGTTGGCGTTCAAGTGATAATAAAATAAATACGTTACCGATACTCGATTATATTATTATTTTATTTCCATTTCTCTAAAGAAATATATATGGTGGTAGCCGTCTTGAAGACGGCTTGAAACTGAATAAAGCGACAAGTTGAGAAACTTTTTTTTTTCAGGTTCCTACAAATCAGGGAAATAGCATTTATTTTATTATCACTTGTACATACTCCAGCTGAATGTAGGTGTGGGTATAGCTCGGTGGCAGGATTTCTGTGCTGTACGTGTATTATAGCTGGTACGTAATATAAAAAATGGCAACCGGCTTAATATTTAAAGATTCCCCCCCCTTGAAAACTGGGGTGTGAAAGCGACCGTGACTGCCACGGCGAAGTGCAGGGAAAAGAAAATTACACGATGACTGTCAATGAACGAAATTGTCAGGTCACTCTAGCCCAGGAATTTCAAATGGTAACCTCTTAAAAAACAATAAGTGAACGCATGATAGCAAAAACTGTTATCTGTTCGATCGGGGTGTTCTGCGTGTTTAATACAGCACTTGGCTTTTGTGTTATAATAAGCTGTGTTCAAATCACATTTCAAACACTAGTAATTTATTGGAGCCATAGTTAGCAACTACCATATCTTCATTAGCTGTGAGGGACAGTGCTGTCGGAGAATCCAGGTCCTCCTCGCTCGCATCACTCACGAGGACATCGATGAAATTGCCATTACTGTCAAATCTTTGTACTCTGTTGTTTCGACAATCGGCCACTAAAATCTCACCGTTGTCGGTGACACGAACACTTCTTGGACGATCAAATTGACCATTTCCTTGGCCGTACTCACCGAACACTTTCAAAATTTTTCCAGAATAATCTGATATCTTCACGTGGTTGGAATCACGATCCGTGGTGTACACTTTTCCACCTTTCGCACAGACCCCCCTAAGCTGGTCGTTGTTTGTATCTAACCCAGAGATGAATTGTCCCTGGTTGTCATAGATACAGCATTGGGATGCGTATGCAACCAAAACACGACCACTCTCATCGACGGTGATTCCACGTGGATGTAAAAACTCATTCTGACTGTCCCCGAACAATCCAAGAAACGATCCACTCTCTGTACTGAATGATTGCACCCGGTCGTTGTAGGGGTCGGTGACCAGTAAACGTTGTTCAGCAACCATGGCGACTTCACACGGGAAATTGAATTTTCCAAGGTCTTCCCCCTTTTCTCCAAATTTCACTTGAGTATTTCCATGGTGATCAAAAACTTCTACGGTATAGCTCTTTCTTCCTGTCACTGCAATTCTGCCGCTCTGATCTATGTCCACGCCGTATGGGCCATCGGTGTCCGTTAGTCCAATTCGGCGGATGCATCTAACTTCCAACATAATGTGAATCGGCCTAAAATAAAACATGCAAAAAATGAGTTATTTTATTTTGTTTCCTTTTAAAATTATTTTCACAATTACTCTCACGCGAATTGAAGAAGTCACGCGAATTGATTACAAAACCGCAAGAGAAATCTTTCTTCTAGAAATCATAAAGCACATTAGTGAGTTCGTGAGAAAAACTGGTTCGTCTTCATCTCAAATCGTTGTTATTTGCTTTCAGTTCCTTTACGCCATTTTGACGTCGCAGAAGCGCTTTGTTTCATATTCTCTGTTTGCGCAGTTATATGCGCAAGTAATTCGCCATTTTCTCGAACCCGCTTTCGAAAGTTCAGTGTTTGGATAAAATAAAATGACTATAGTGAACTATAACTAAGTTAACATGATTGTTTTTGAAACTCAAGATAAAACTGTATTAATCAACCATATAGTTTCCCGAACGTTGTCGGATTCGAGGCGGGCGCGCTTGTCTCAAAGAACAATGTTGTCCGTGACCCCAATTATGTCAACTCATAACTTTGTATAGAAATATGCAATCTATACGTAAAATGGAAAAAAATCTGAAGACTTTTATGAAACTGCATTGATTACTATCTTAACTATGTAACCGGCGTAATGACAAGAGTATCTCAACAAATTTTATTCGTTACCCAATTTTTCTCGCGCTTATGATTTTATACTGCAAAGAGCAAATACACGTACTAAAACAGTTTTCAAGAACTTTCATGAAACTTCATCGATCAACCTCAATATAACGGTATAGGCACACAGCAACACACGTTTCAGTTTTTCGCGAAACATGTTGATGTGACCATAGATCAACAAACCGTTTGTACGTCCACGATACTAAAACAAAAGCAAACATATACTGTTTTCGTGTCGAGTCGAGGGGTGATTTATAGTGGAGTATATAACCATTCGTGTGGACGACAGGGACCGCTGAGTATGTACCTATTATTTAACGGAGTATACAATACATGTAATTGGGCTGACCATTCGCGCGTACTACAGTGGTATCCGGGGTACATCGTCACAGCGCTGGGAGTTAGTGTAGGCTGTCCCTCAGGCTGTCGGTTAAAAACACTGAAAACAACATAGGTGTGACTGCAACGAAAGTTAATTTGTCCGCGCTGAGCAATTTTGAAATGTATTTTATTCAATACGTTATTATTGTATTTGAAGCGTGACGTCAGCCAAGCACGTAATTTTCAAAACGGGAGATGTCAAACATAACAATACCAGAGGCATATGCAACTATAGGGATCGAAGCTATACACAGCTCGTTTCGACGCCGCAGTAAGTACTCGACTGACTATATATGGGTCAGATGGGGCAAGGCGAAATGAGCAAACCTTCCTATATACATCCGTGCGATGTGACGATGTCAGGAGTACGTACATTAAAGCGCGGTGGTCGTCGCGCAGCGCGTATTCGAATTTCACGTAAATAAACAATGTATTTTACACGTGTTGTATATGTCGCTATGAGTCCCATATCGAACAGAGCGTTAAGCGCTACAGACTGTGGACTTATATGACATAGATTATACAATGGTTACTCGGCGCACGCTGTGCAGTTATGTCAAACGGCGCTATCATTCATATGTCACAACTGTGTTTTATTTCACTCGGTGTGTAAGCAACTGTGACAGTACAGCGCATAATGGAAACGAGCTGATATTGGGTGAACAGTCACTGCTAATAATCATAGAAAAAGGGTTGACACTCACCGTATATTTGCTAGGTAGACTGCAAACACTGTCGACACACGGTACGCTACATAGGTCGCCGAACATCAGCGTTGAGCACTACTGGGGTACACCAGAGCTAATAACCCCATACGAAATGAGTATGTTATTTATACATCGATGACACACACTGTAAATCCACTGATACTGCCAATCAGCTCCCCAGTGGTGACTCATTTACGCTGTGTATTTTACGGGACCACATAATATCCGAACGCTGGGTTTTATTAGTTACTCATGAAACCGATTTGACCCTTCGTGGTCAAAGGTCGTCATATACCACTTTCTAACCACTAGTCCATAAAAGATGGGCACCTGTCCGGTAATACAAGATTCGTAGCTCTGACTCAGCGTATGTATGGTAAAATCCCACTGGATATGATTGGATTTCCAACTAGGGTCGGGAATTTATAAACTCAATGGTAAATCCCGGAAACAACAATACACTGGTTTTCCACAAATCACCCCAGGGCGGGAATTGCCGCTCAGGGGTAGAAAATTCGTATCAGTAATTCATTTTCATTTAAAAAGGCGTACTGTTTGTGTACATGTGGCAATGACATTGATTAGGGTTTCACTCTGGCATGGTAATTTTAGGTATGTTAGTGTTTTATTATAGAATAATTACGTATTCGATAACATGAATACTACGAATTGCTTGAAAGCGTACACAATTTAAAGAGTTCATTGAATTGTCAGTGATAGTTTTTTCAGGTTAAGTAGGCATCACAATTTACGTGAAAAAATCGAATTTGTAGTGCGGATCTATGCCTGTAACCTAATATCTGTTTCACAAATTCAATGAAGATGGAAACAATACGTTAAAATATCTCTCCTGAAGCTTTACTGTGGTCTTTAGAGTGTTATGTGAAATATTTTTATGATCTAAATGTTAACATTTCAATTAATGTTTTTAGAACGACCGGGGCCGTTTGTCTGTGTTTGCCTACTTTCGAATGAACATGAATCGCCTGAATAGTGCCCAAGGCAATTTTTCGTATAATAGTCGCAATGCAGCTCTGTGGAGTGCAATTTTCAAACTCCTAGTATCTCACAAATTATAGGGAAAGCTCGGATGAGGCATTGTTCGTGAAAATATCCAATCGTCGGAGACAGGCACTATGATATTCGATTTAACCGACTTCTCGTGCAAATAACAAAAAGTGAAATTCGTCTTCAACAAGATTCAACTCTCAGAAGTCACATATGTTACATTACCATCCACCGACCCCCGTATTCATGCTGTGCACAGAGATTCTAAATGTACACAAAGCTAGTCTGAATATTGGTGTATCAGATTATTGTTATATATGATTGTATTATAACAAATCTGTTGAAATATTGCATGTTAATGACAGAAACAAATTTATAAATGTCGGATTTGCAATTCAGGACATATAACAGGGAAGGATGTCAACTACCCGGGTCGAAAAACTGCTACAAATTTTAGTTTTTGATAAAACTAAACAATAAGCTCAGTTCACCTTCTTTATTAGCTCCTTAGTTAACTGACGGTTACTACCCGTGGTTCGCTGTGACATTCTCAGTATTCGGTGACGAAAGCGAGGCTGTGCATTTAAGCATAGACCCTCCAGTGGAGGGTCTATGATTTAAGAAAGTACGCACAATTATATATTAGCAATCACCTCATAACAGTACAGTACTATAATAGTACATGTAATGAATATGCAGCCTGTGTGGTTGAGTAACCAGAGATCGCTTCTTGGCCACGCTCCAAGAGACTTTGGCTTGCTCCCGCCTTCCACTTGATCCCATGAAAAGTTGGTGCACCATAAAACACGAGGTCGCAAATAAGGCTTGACCTGACAGTTCTGAGCCGTGCCCGCGTTATTTGGTAACTTTACAATGACTATTATCATTAAAGTGCCTACACGGATGGAGGTGGTGGTACTCACCTGGATTTTGGCTGGGATTCAAGTTGCTTCGGAATATCCATCATACGACTACGACTTACTGTGAAGATCTTAGAGTGTGGCTCGTCTTAATCTAAATCCGTGGGCAACAATAAGGAAATAAACACCATTTGTACAACATAGCGCGAAAAATAAAACTTTATGTAAAAACGGGCGGGATGGGATTTTGATTACGCTGGAAATAGCTTCTGTGAGTCTAGACAAAAATACCTACCGGTATTGTGTTTGTACTCAGTCAATGTACTGTATACCAGTGTAAACCAGGAATCACAGAAACACATACGCGAATATTTGAGTTGTTAATTGGATAATGTCGAACTAACGAAGATGTCACAATAAGATTTCTCGATTTATACTACGTTTCAACCACATATTCATATCCGTAACCTGGGATAAAAGTGACCGTAATCGAGTTATGACTTTCTGTGTTCCGAAGCTCGGAAACTTGTGCAACATTTATATTATATGCCGAAACGGTCGGGACCGAGACAGCACGTGCCTAAATAGACTCGATATTGGTCCCGATAGATGCTCTGGACAGACCCGACCGTTCACACACAATTTTCGGCACGTGCCGACTCGGTCCCGAGTCTCGGCACCTGCCGAGATCTCTAACGTGAACGCCACTAGAAACTCGGCACGTGCCCAAGTGGGTCCCGACGAACGTGAACGCAACTGTTGTAATCCTTCTGCAAACATAAAGGATTAACAATTTCAGCACGTGCCGAGATCTCTTAACGTAAACGTAGTGTAGTTTATATGCGATTAACATTCTTTGCCAGCAGCGGTTGGGAAACTCAACTCGCTTGGCATTCTAGGAAACTACACTCGCTTGGCAGGCTGGGAAACTAAACTCGCGAGGTAGGCTGGAAAACTCAACTTGCTTGGCATGCTGGGAAACTAAACTCGCTTGGCATGCTGGGAAACCTAAATCGCTTGGCAGGCTGGGAAACTAAACTCGCTTAGCAGGCTGGGAAACGAAATTCGCTTGGCAGGCTGGGAAACTAAACTCGCTTGGCATGCTTGGAAACTAAACTCGCTTAGCAGGCTGGAAAACTAAACTTGCGTGGCATGCTGGGAAACTTAACTCGCTTGGCAGGCTGGGAAACTAAACTCGCTTAGCAGGATTGGAAACTAAACTCGCTTGGCAGGCTGGGAAACTAAACTCGCTTGGCAGGCTTGGAAACTCAACTCGCTTGGCAGGTTGGGAAACTCAACTCGCTTGGCATGATTGGAAACTAAACTCGCTTGGCAGGTTGGGAAACTCAACTCGCTTGGCAGGTTTGGAAACTTAACTCGCTTGGCATGCTGGGAAGTTC